CCAGGTGGTTGAGTATCAGAGTGTTCCATCTCATTTCCCTTTGGAGTTGCTGTAGGTGATCTGGAAGTCTGGTTTTGAGATTTATTTACGTGTTTTCTCATTTCGACTCTGGGAGTGGGGGGGGGTGTGCTATCACCTCCTCTGAGCTGGGAGAGGTCGGATAGGGGCCGGGAGTGGCAGTAGGGATGGTGGCCAAGAAGCTGCTTCCTCTGGGCCGGGAGCGGTGGGACAGAAGGCGGCCCAAAAGCCCTTTCCTCTGGGCTGAGAGCAGCGGGAGGGATGGTGGCCGGGAAGTCCCTTCCTCTGGACCAGGGGCAGTCAGATTTCCCCCTTATTAATAGGCTTCTACTAAATGAAATTCTAGATAAACTGACAATAGAGACATTTTGGTTTGCATTTAATTTAGGTTTCAAGTCTAGACTCATGTTGGGTACCAAAATACGTCTGATATGCTAAAAATGGTTGCAATTTTAATGAGTATTTTCTGAAAAGACTTTAAAAACTACTCCACGAAACAGGAAGAGGAGAACTGAATTACTATCTGAAAGATGATCTTTTCTACTTGATGTGGGAACTTCCTCTTGCAGCTCAGAACCCATGAATAGCTCCTCCTCATGTTTGCCCCCACAAACTCTCTTTTCGTGAAGGGATTTTAAAGTACTTAGAGAGAGTAGCCTCCCAAGATTTTTTCATTTTTCTATAGATTCTACCTTTTTCTGATTATGAAGTTGAGTCTCTGTCCTGTTGTTCTGAAGTTATCTCTCTGTGTAGTCTTTGCTCTGACTCTGTGCGGTTCTATCATTGACTCTCTGCATGACCTTTGCTCTGCAGTTGACCTTCTGTGTGGTCCTTGCTCCATCACTGACTCTCTGTGTGACTCTTGCTCTGCAGTTGACCCTCTGTGTGATCTTTGTTCTATCATTGACTCTCTGCGTGACCCTTGCTCTGTGGTTGACCCTCTGTGTGATCTATGTTCTATCGTTGACTCTTTATGTGATCCTTGCTCTGCAATTGACCCTCTGTGTGATCTTTGTTCTACTGTTGACTTTCTCTGTGACCCTTGCTCTGCGGTTGACCCTCTGTGTGATCTTTGTTCTGTCCTTGACTCTCTGCGTGATCTTTGCTCTGCAGTTGACACTTTATGTGGTCCTTGCTCCATCACTGACTCTCTGTGTGACACTTGCTCTGCAGTTGACCCTCTGTGTGATATTTGTTCTGCAGTTGATGCTTTGTGTGATCCTTGCTCTGCAGTTGACCCTCTCTGTGGTCTTTGTTCTACTATTAATTCTCTACTTGATCCTTGTTCTTGATTTGACTCTGTGATGGCTCCCTCTTCTATCACTGCTTCTATATACAATTTTTGCTCTCTACTTGGCTCTCTGACTTGTTCTTCATTTGAAATTCTTTGTGATCCTAGATCTGCAGGTTTTTCCCTCTGCTGTTTTGGTGGATGTGGTGGTGCTATTGATGTTCTCTGTTCATCATATTTTGGTTGATCTTTTTGATTTTCTAATAAATTACTTTCAGTTTTATTATCATGTTTTTCAGAAAGTAATTCATTCATCTTTAATAGCACTTTATCAAAGTCTTCATAAATGTTTTTCTGATTATCCATGTTTCCCCAGAACTCGGTCAAGTCTATCTCTTCAAACTCAATGAATGGCCCTAATGGAGAAAACAAACAATTAATTTACTTAAGCAATCGATCTTACATAGCAGAAGCAGAGTTATTAAATTAGTGAAAAAAATCATTGAGCACAGTAATTTTTAATATAGTCCTATTACTTTAAAGAAATATCAGTTATCTTTTGCTGCAACTTCATAAAAAGCAAAAGGTCACTCAAAGAACATTTAAATACTACTACTTGTAATTAGGTGTTCCTTCCTAAAAGGTATAACTTTGGAAAAGAACATAATTCTTCTTTAGGTATTTGGAGTGTTACTTATACTGACAAGGCAAATAAAATTTGTCTACTAACTTTGTGGCCCTCCCATAATAAGTGTAGCATAGAGATGGGGGAAGGGACATGTTTTTCCATCTCAAATGTCTTTTCAATATCTGCAATATGAAATAAGAGCAAGTCTCTATTCGTGACAATCATTCACTGGAGTTATATTTTCCAATATTCACTTTTTCTCCCTTCCTTTTCCCTCTCTGTTTCTTTATTTCTCAATTCTTCAACAACTCATATGGACACCTAGTTCAGAAATCTAGGAAAAGAGGTTGGAGTGTAGCTTAGGATGTGTGAGGCCTTGGGTTCAATCTCCATTATAAAAAAAGAACCTTATGGAAAGATTGTTCAGCATTCGTCTGAATCCTATTGTTAAAAAATAACAGCTGGAAGTATAGCTCAGTGGTAGAATACTTGCCTATTGAGTGATAAGTCCTAGGTTCTAGCCACCATACTCCAAAACAACAACAAAACCCTGGTGTCCAAGACTACACAGAGTAGGACTCATGCCACAGACTGTCCCCATGATCTTCAAAACAGTAGGTAAGCTATAAAATTGTGATTCCCATAAATTTTAGGAATATTCTATGTATACTATCCACATATTTTTAAATATGCAAGTAATAAATCTTCACACAAAAATAAAATATTGTTTAGAAAGTTCATTGATTAAAAGTCTTTCTCTTAAAAAATAAAACCAATATTTTTATTTATTTTGGTAGAAAAATGAAAAGGTTATCTTACCATATAAGTACAAGATATATAAGCACAAGTAACACTACACAAGTAAAAATGCTTGGGAGAAGTAAGTATTTTTCTTAGAAATCTTAGAATTATAAGTTAAGCATTAAAAATAGAATAACCATTATCAACTAATTTTTAAAACATTCAAATTGTCACTAAAGCTTCTCTTCATTTAAATTAATTTAAAAATGAGTTCTGATATGATGGTTTTGAGTATTACATTGTGATGAAAAATGCATCTAGGTGTGATGAAGAGTGAATTTTGTGAAGGAATGAACAGGTAGATATAGCCATACTCATCATAACTCAAGAAGTTATATGAAGGGATTAAATGAGAGGTAGAATGATCATATTAGAGTACTGGTCACTCCATTTCAAGGATGCTTCTCCCTCTGAAGAGTACTTACATTGCCTTGGGTTTCGGAGTAAACTCCTAAGCATTTGTGAACTTTGGTCATAGAACTGTTCCAGCAAGGCCAATGTCCTCTGCCGATCCAAAATCCCTACCTAAGCAAAAAGGTTATAATTGGTAGTTATAGGAGATTTAAGATTTTTATGTACACAGAACATGGCTTTCTAAAGCTTTTATCATTACCATCACCACCACTACCATCACCACCATAATCATCACACAAATAAAATCTCCAAGCAAGGTGTGGTGGTACGTGTTTGTAATCCCTGCACTTGGGGAGACTGAGGGAAGAGGATTGTAAGACTGAGTCTAGCCTGGTCAACTTCATGACTTGGCAAGATTCTGCCTCAAAATTTAAAAATAGAAAAGAGGGATAGGGATGTAGCTCAATGCAAAGGCCCTGGGTTCAAACCCCAGTACAGCATGAAAAAAAATATAATTTCTTTTCATAGCTATATGGCATTGTATAATATGAAAATACCATTAATTTCTTAACATTTGTCTATTCATGGGCATTTAGGTTATTTCCAGTATTTTGATACTAAAATAATATTGCAGTGGGTATCTTTATCCGTGTCTCCTTTTGTACGTTTAGAAACATTTCTCTAAGGTAAATAAATGTCCTGTGGGATTTTTGTGTAGAGAAACAGAACACTGAGACATTTTCTCAGGAAGAAGCTTTATTCATGCCAGCACTGACTCAGTGGATTCACATCCAAAGGCTGAATGCTGAACCTGGTATAGTTGCACCCTTTTATACAAGACTTATGTCTTGTCTCCCTTATATGGGCATATACTAACATTTTACAGTCTGGTTGGGTATACATTAACATTCTACTGTCTGGTTGGGTATGATTTATATTGCAGAGTTACATCAGAACCACACATGCATGCACAGAGGTTGATATCACTACATTGTGAAAAGTTCCTGACCCAACACATCAGGAGGGGCCCTACCACAAATGAAATTACAAATCATTTTATATATACATTTTCAATTTTAGTAGTTGTTGCGAAATTGCTCCTTAAATTGCCCATACCAATTTACATTCTTACCAATACTGAGTATATATCATTTCTCCATATTCATGCCAATACTCTATATTGTTAGAGTTTATACTTTTTCCAATCTGATAGTCAAAAAATGGTATCTTATTTTAATCTACATTTCTTCCATTAGTGAGACTAAATATATTTTGATTTTTTTAATGTATTTGGCTTTCTTCTTCTGTGAATGGCTTTTTCATGTCTTTTTCCCATTCTTTAGAGTTGTCTATTTCTTATTAATTTATAACATTTTTATAATGGTCATTCTGTTATGTATTTTGCCAATTTTTCTCTTATCTCAGTTTAGCTTTTGGTGAGTTTAGTCATATCAATGTTTTTAATTTTGAGGAAGTCAAATATATCAATCATTTCCTTTATGGACTGTGCTTATTTAGAGTATTCTTTAGAAAATAATCACAACCCACCCAGATTCCTTCGGTAAGTGTGCCCAGATCCATTGAGAAGCCTTGTGGACCAGAGCTGCGTGGGTGCATGGGGATTCCAGCCAGGGCCCCACCCTACAAAGAGCTGCACAGGTGCACAAGCAACAGCCAGAGGCCTGCCCAGATCCCATCAGTAAGTGTGTGCAGATCCCAGTGAGAAACCCATGTAGACCTGAGTTGAGTGGGTGTGGGAAGGTCCCAGCCAAGGCCCTGCCCAGACACCAGCAGTTTGGGCCTACAGGCCCCAGCCAAAGGCTTGCCTGGAAAAGAGCTATGCAGGCAGGCAAACAACAACCAGAGGCTTGCCCAGAAACCATTGGTAAGTGTGTGCAGGCCCCAGCCAGAAGTCTGCTCAGACACAAGCAACTCCAGTGCATGGTCCCCAGCCAAAGGCCCTCCCAGACAACAGCTACACAAGGGGACAGGCCCCAGCCAGAGGCACATCCAGATATCATCCCAAGTGTGCAAAGGCCCCAGCCAGAACTCTGCCAGAACAACAGGGCAGAGCAGGGATCCAGAAGGCCACCATTCTGAACCCAGGAATTGGCACAGTGGTGAGCAGCAGAGAAAAGGCCTCTCAGTGGCTTGCTGAGAATTGAAGACCACTGGGTGAGCAAAAAGTCACCTCA